CACGCAGGGAGCACAGCTCCGCTCCTCGAGCGTCAACTCGTGCTCTGCCTCCGCGGCCGCCGCCGGTCCCGGGCTGGCCACCCGACGCCCAGAATCTACACATTCTGCTGACCGTCAGCAACAAAAAAATCCCACCCCACGCTGCTCTCCAACTTAGGGTCCGACAGGGGGTTGGGTAAAAGGGTGGCGGTGGGGTACGGAAGGGTTCCAGTCCAAGTTCTGCCCCATTTGCTTTGTGGCTGCCCCCGAGTCGGACGTGCCCCGGGAAGGCGTCCACGCTCCGAGCCCAGGTTGTCTCCCGGCAGTTTCTACAGCCCGAGTTTAAACTAGTCCTTTGCATTCTATCCAGCCCCTCTGCAATGCGGATGTATTTTAATTCTTAAATTCTTGAGGGAACAGCTTTCTAAGTTGGACTTCATTATTTAACCTTGCCTTTCTTTCACAGCTGAAGTTTACGTGTCTAGATTAAGATCAGCCCTCTAGAAGAGGCATTCAGCTTTTCCATTGAATGTTTTTTACCAAACCAATGCTCCGAAGGTCATCTCCCATTACACACATCACACTGTTCTAAAAGGGAAAATATTAACACCAATTTGGCGACTCAAGTTTAATGAAACTTTCTTAGAACGTTCCATTATTGCTAATGTATGCTCATTTGGCCTTTTTTGTATCTATAAAAATGGGTACTATGATTTAAAGCATGCAGCTAATCGCCGATCACTCGTGCATATTTGGTTAATCCTTCGGCCCCCCTCCAACCTCCCTCCCCCCAACTTAAAAAAAAAAAAACCATCAGATACAAAACAAAAACACTCCTCATGCCAATCAAAACGTAGCTGTACTATGCACAAAACAAATTTAACTATTCCAAACCATTTAAACCTCTGAATAAGCACCCAATTTTAGAAGCCCAATTAACAGGGAGGAATTATTTCTAGTCACTTACATATGTATTCACGGTATCTACTTGAAAACATTAGCTTTATTGTAGGTCTTTTCCCCCTAAAACTGGAAATCATGAATTTTTAAACAAAACCAGTCCCATTATTAAAGTCAATCCCAACAAATGCATTCGCTGTAACACGATTCCCAACTGGTTTATGCTGCGAACCAGATAAGCCAAAACGACCACATACATTAAATTTGATGTGCCAGTGCGAGGAACAAGATCGCCATAATCGGACCCTGGATTGCAACTTAAAGGGCTTCCAACACACACGCGTTACACTATTTCCCAAATAGCATCAATAATAACAGGCTAATTTGACTGCAAAGTGCAATAGGGGGACAATTCCGTCTGAGAATGCAATTTAGTTACCTTCCCGCAGCCCACCCCCCCAACCCCCCTTCCCCAAGCTTCACCAAAATCCCTTGCCTTTCATCTAAAACTAGATTGTGGTTGTGTCATTCGAGGTCAATTTATTCACTTGAGGTACCTCTCTACCCAATCTGTTTTTTCATCCAAACTAGGCAGACACGACTTTGCCTGAAAAGCCCTCTTTCAGAAAAGAAAGAAGCAGCCTTATCGGACGATGTGTTTAAAAACCCTTCAGCTGCAGAATTATCTATAAACTTGACATTCACAGCCATTGCTTAAAACTGCAAGTCAAAGGATGTGTTGTTAGGAGCACTTACGTATTTCTTCTGAATGATATTCCTCTTGGGTCTTTCCTTGCTCATTCTGAGATCCAAATGCTGATTGCAAAAGGGGACAATTGCTTCATGAATTTAAAGCCGTCAGAAATTTGCAAAAAAATATCCTGGTGGTTTTTATTGTTGTTGGTGGTGGTTGATCTTGTAATCCGACTTTTCTTCCTCTTCCCCCAAAGCCCGATTCGCCTTGAAATAAATCCGAAATTGGGAAGGAAAAAAAAAAAAAAAACAGCCAAAGACGAACGAAGCAAACAAAAAAAAAAATTCACTTTAGTAAAACACTCATAATGGAAAATTTCCCCCGAAACACACACACAAAAAACCGACGCCCTTCACTCCCCCCTTTTTTCCTCCAAAAACTACATCAGCGAAACGTGAAGGTCCTTAGTGTCTGATCTGCAGTTACATCTTGGAAAAGAAAAGGGAAAGATAAATAAAAAATGTTGGAAGTCACGTTTGTGCTGCAGCAGCAGTGCGAGCAGAAGAGTCAACTCCAGCGGCGGCGGCGGCGGCGGCAGCACCACAGCGAGGGCTCGCCGAGTCTCTTTTTTCCAAGCCCCCTAACCAATGAGAGACAGGCTATCCAGCCCAACTTTAAATGGACTCTGCTTTTATACAAGTTAGGGCTCCTCGACTAATTCCCCGCCGGACGTCAGCCGAAAACTCCCACAGCTGAGCCACTAGGCGCCCGCCTACCCCGGCGCCCACCGCCCGTGGCCCAGTCCAGAGAAGCCTCGCAGCCCCGTGGACTAGACACTCCAAAGGCCTCGACGAATCTGTCCCGCACCACCCCTCAGAAATCGCTCCCACGCCGAGCCTAGGCGTGGAATTGAGAGAGGCTCCCTAGCCCAATGCATGGCACGCTCGGTCGCTCCACCTCACCCCCTTTCCACAGCTTGCCGCTCACCCCACGGCCGCCGCATGCTAACCCCCGCCACTGCCCTCGAGTCTACCTGCAGCCGGGCTGCTGGATAAGAGTGCCCCAAGACGCTCGGCCCCGGGGAGAGCCGCCTATTCCCGGGGCACCTTAGAATGGTCCCCTTGATCTTCTGGAAGTTGTAGTCCCCCGACTACAAAATGGCTATGGCCACGGGAGCTTGGAACTACAATTCCCAGCCTGCCCCGCAAGCCTGTCACTCAACTCCCCTCCCTCCTCCCAACCCCCCTCCCCCTCACCAGCCCTGCCAACAAACGCTTGGACGTGTCCCGCGTGCGACACCGCTAGAGCCTGGCTCAGGATTGGCCCGCCGAACGTGTGGTCCGCGCGCGAGG